CCTAGTTCCATACTGGATTATGTGACTGTGTGGAAGTCATTTCCTTCTCTTGGAGTCTCACTCTTGTTGCCCAGGCTGAAGTGCAGTGGCATGCTCATGGCCCCCACAGCCTAGAACTGCTGGGCTCTCAGGTGATCCTTCCACCTCAGCCTTCTGAGTAGCTGGAACTACAGACACATGCCACCATGCCCGGCTAGTTTTTTGTGATTTATTATAGAGACAAGATCTCACCAAGTTGCCCAGGCTGGTCTTCAACCCCTGGGCTCAGGCAGTCCTCTCGCCTCGGCCTCCCAAAGTGCTGGGATTATAGGCTGAGCCACTGCGCTTGGCCAAAACCATTTGCTTTCTAACACCGGTCCCTATGTGTCATTTAAATCTAAATCTTGGGTATTTTTAAGGAAAGCTTCTTGGTTGGCATTTGTTAGATTTTTCACTGAGAGTAAAGCTAATCAGTTTTGCTCTGATGTTTTTCTAAGAATAAATTTCCTGGAAAGTCTTGCTGTCTGGAATTTTCTAGTGAAGCATTAAAAGAGAAACTCTTCAAATCTATCTTTTTTTTTTTTTTTTTTTTTTTGCGTTGGAGTCTCACTCTGTTGCCCAGACTGGAGTGCAGTGGCATGCTCCCGGCCACTTCAGTCTCGACCTGCTGGGCTCTGGTGATCCTTCCGCCTCAACCTTCCAGGTAGCCAGAACTACAGTGGTGCACTACCACGCCTGGCTAATTTTTTTGATTTATTGTAGAGATGAGGTCTCACCAAGTTGCCCAGGCGAATCTCGAACCCGTGGGCTCAGGCAATCCTCTCACCTCGGCCTCCCAAAGTGCTGGGATTACAGGTCGAGCCACTGAGCCCAGCCTTTTTTTTTTTTTTTCTTTTCTTTTGAGTTGGAGTGTCACTGTCGCTCAGGCTGGAGTGCAGGGGCATGCTCACTGCCACTGCAGCTTTGACCTGCTGCGCTCAGGTGATCCTTCTGCCTCAGCCTTCCAAGTGGCTGGAACCACAGGCGCATGCCTAGCTAACTTTTTAATTTATTGTAGAGATGAGGTCTCACCAAATTGCCCGGGATAATCTTGAACACCTGGGCTCAGGCAAGCCTCTCACCTCTGCTTCCCTAAGTGCTGGGATTGCAGGCGTGAGCCACCGTGCCTTGCTTCAAATCTATCATAATGACTAAGTTTGTATAATTCTGGAGTTTACAAATTGGCTGCTTACAGCATTATATCATTTAATACTCTTAACAATTCCAGGGGTAGGTAGAATTCCCATTTGTAGATGCAGAAACTAAGAAATGAAGAGGCTAAGTGACTGGCTCAGGGTCAAATGGCTAATAGAGGCAGACGTAGAACTCAGGCTTTGGTCCTCCAATTCCAAATCTTATGTCTTTTTTTTTTTTTGAGTTGGAGTCTCACTCTGTCATCCAGACTGGAGTGCAGTGGCTTACTCACAGCCACTGCAGCCTCAACCTGCTGGGCTCTGGCGATCCTTCTGCTTCAGTGTTCCAAGTAGCTGGAACTACAGGCACGCGCTACCCCACTCAGCTAATTTTTAAATTTATTTCAGACATGAGGGCTCACCAAGTTGCCCAGGCTGGTCTTGAACCACTGAGTTCAGGCAATGCTTTCGCCTCAGCCTCCCAAAGCGCGGGGTTACAGGCTGAGCCACCGAGCCTGGCTCAAATCTTATTTCTTTTGCACTTTCCCATACTGTTTATGACCTTTCTTCCTTTGGTTTAAACCCACGACTTGCTCTGTGGTCACCTAAAAATGAGTTGAGAGTCTGTCTGACCCTTCACATACTATAGTCCATCAACTTAATAATAGTTAAAACTGGTACATAGTGTCACCATGGCTGTAGTACTCAATGTCAGAAAATAACCCTGTGAAATCTTTGAACCACTACTACTGTGTGGTTGTTTTTGATTATGCTGCCTAATCTTTCTTTTCAAATGAGGTCCTTAGTGTGTGGTGTTTGTTTCTGAAGTGGACAGCCAGCAACTGACAGGAACAGGCCCTAGCTGGAAGAGAGTTGTTCTTTCAGACAGCCGGCTGTATTGCAGCACATCAAGTTTTCTCCTTGGGTTGTCACTTCCAGCAAGCGTCTTTCATTTCCTTGCGCGGATGCCCCCAGCCCTCTGAAGGGGGGTAGGTGGGAGGTGGGCGGGGCAGGTTGCTGCATCTTACAAGAATCCTCTGTGTAATTGAAAGTTAAATTTATGTCGCACCAACCTGAGTCTCACCGGTGGGCTCCCTGCCTACTTAGAAAAGTCATCTGGCACCAGAACATCAAAGCTAGCCTGCGTTCTTGCTGTGCCTCGAGCATGGGGCATCAGTACATTTTTCTCAGGATATGAACACTATTTCCCCTCTAGGGACTTTGCAGTTGGCACAAACTATTTCTTTTCGTCTCTGACTGCAGTTCTAGTCTAAATAGTCTCATGGGCTCTGGCTCCAACCTCCTGTCATTCTAATCCCAAGCATGAAAGATCAGACACTGGGGTATCTCTTTACTGGCAGCCCCAGACTTGAACTTTGGAAATTGTGGGAAATTCCATTCTTTGGGTACATAGATCTGTTGACTACAAGAGTTTTCCCTGCTAAGCAGAAATAGCATCAGGATAACATGGAGAAAAGAATAATGAAAATAGTCCTTATGTGGGTATGATATTTTACTGCTTACAAAATAGTTCTATGAGATCAGGTACAGTGGCTCATGCCTGTAATCCCAGCACTTTGGGAGGTGGAGGCAAGAAGATTGCCTGGACCTAGGGGTGTGAGACCAGTCTGGGCAACTTGGTGAGACCTCGTCTCTACAATAAATCAAAAAATTAGCCTGGTGTGGTGGTGCATGCCTGTAGTTCCAGCTACTTGGAAGGCTGAGGCGAAAGGATCACCTGAATCCAGCAGGTTGAGGCTGCAAAGACTGTGAGCGTGCCACTGCACTCAAGCCTGGGTGACAGAGTGAGACCCCTAAAAAAAATGATTTTATGTTTATTATCTTATTTCTTCCTTCTTGTAACCCCAGAAAGCAGCCTGACAGAGTAGTTAAGAATGTCAAGTCTGGCAGGGTGCAGTGGTTCAGCCTGTAATCCCAGCACTTTGGGAGGCAGAGGCAAGAGGATTGACAGAGCCCAGGGATTTGTGACTAGCCTGGGCAACTTGGCGAGACCTCATCTCTACAATAAATCACAAAAACAGCTGGGTGTAATGGCATGCATCTGTACTTCCAACTTCTTGGAAGGCTGAGGCAGAAGGATCGCCTGAACCCAGCAGGCTGAGGCTGCGGTGGCTGTGAGTGTGCCGCTGCACTCCAGCCTGGGCGACAAGAGTGAGATTCCAACTCGAAAAACAAAACAAAAGAACACCAAGTCTGAATCTACACTGCCTCACTTTGAATTCAGACTCCAACACTGATAGCTATGGGCAGTTGACTTCATCCCTCAGTACCTCAGTTTCCTCATTTATCAAATTTAAACTGCTTGACTCAGGCTTGTTGTGAGGATTAAGTGAGATAATATATATATATATAAAGCACTTAGACTAGGACGTGACAAAATGTGTTGATAATTGTTATTGCGTAAATAAGAAAACAAAGCTCAAAGAAGGTAAGGACATTAGACTGAGATTCAAACTCAGATTCTCCTTCCTTTGTACCTACTCTGTATACCCATCTCAGCTGCCTCTGAAATCAATACCTTGTGTAGGTAGTCTTGATCCTTAGGAACTCTAGACCTCTTCCTTAAATATTACTTATTTAAAGCTCCATATGACAGAAAGTACAGGGTTTATTATCTCTACTTTACAAAGAAAGAGAGGTGCAAGAAGGCCCCAGTGACAGAGAATCACAGTGTGCTCGGTTCTTACATCTGAGTACATGCCAGATGCCCTCTTGGAGGAGAATAAACGTGCCATACTTCTTTTTCCATCTCTCTTTTTTCCTTGGTTCCCCACAGAAAGGACCTTAAGTAGGCAGAGATTCTAGACTAGGAAAAATAAAACTAGTAAGCACTGGGTTGTAGTAGACCCTCTTGGGGCACAGGACAGCCTCAAAGGAGTAGAGAAAAAGAGTAATTGAGAGGTGGGGAAAATAAGGCACTCCTTGGCACCCCTGAGAAGCACTAGTGTACATCTTTATTTGTTATATTGACTGTGGCAGGAAACTGTAGTGATCCCTTAATTCCTTTTTTTGTTTTTTTTTTGAGTTGGAGTCTCACTCTGTCGCCCAGACTGGAGTGCAGTGGCCGCTCCCGGCCACCGCAGCCTCGACCTGCTGGGCACCGGCAATCCTTCTGCTCAGACTTCTGAGTAACTGGAACTACAGGCGCGCGCTACCACACCCGGCTCATTTTTGAGTTATTGTAGAGATGAGGTCTCACCAAGTTGCCCAGGCGAGTCTCGAACCCACGGGCTTAGGCAATCCACTCACCTCAGCCTCCCAAGGTGCGGGATTACAGGCTGAGCCACCAAGCCTGACTGTGATCCCTTAATTTCATCTGAAATTGATAACAGAAGTCCTAATTGGCCTCCTATTGGTATATCCTTTGGATTGTTTTATTATTTAACTTGAGCTCTCTTCATGTCCACCAAGGCTCCAGGGAAGGGGAAAGGGGAGAAGAAAAGATTCAAGAGATACTTAGGAGAAACATTTCATTCTAACCCAAGCCCTATGAGCCATCAAGGCAGATATTAGTACCATGAGTCTTATGGAATAAAAGTGATTTGCACAAGGTCATAATTGACGAAATTTGAATTCTGGTCTTTTGATTTCGTAGAGACCATTCCAACATACAATGTTTCTTCCCCATGCTGGTAGGAGAATGGTTGGGGTGATTAATAGCAGAATTGCGTCTGGGATAGAGACAGTAGTGCTGAGTGCTGGACATTTTACTTATGAAGGGATGCTACAGATTGGGCAGGCTCCCTTTCCTGTATGTAGGGGAACAGTCCTCAGCTTTTTAGTAATTCTCTGAAATTTCTACTTTATTTAGGTTATCATTTGGAAGCAATGAGTTTAAAACCCTTTACCTACCCGTTTCCAGAGACCAGGTTTCTTCATGTGGGACCCAATGTGTATAAATTCAAAATCAGATATGGCAACAGCATCAGGTAATTTTAAAGGTAGGAGGGTAGCTTATGCAAGCGCTGGTCAGTGCATTTCCACAACTCATCCCTTCTCTGCCTTCATCCAGTACAGTAGACTGATAAATTAGCATCTTGTGGGGCCCTCTTTCCCAAGTATTTTATATTCAGTACATGCATTATTTCATATGAGTTTCTAAAGGAGGGACAACATTTTTTTTTAAGGGAGTCTTGTTCTGTAACCCAGGCTGCAGTACAATGGTGTGATCACAGCTCACTGAAAACTTGGAATTCCTAGACTCAAGCAATGCCCTGCCTGAGCCTCCTAAGTAGCTGGGACTACAGGTGCATACCACCATGCTGGGCTAATTGTATTTTTTGTAGACCAGGGTCTCACTGTGTTACCCAGGTTGGTCTCAAACTTCTGGCCTCAAGTGATCCTCCAGCCTCACTCTCACAAAGCACAAGCATGAGCCACAGCAACCAGTCCAGTACAACATACCTTTGAGGCAGTGTTCCTCAAAATTTTTCATCTCAGGAATCCTTTGCACTCTTAACATTATTAAAGACTCCAAAGAGCTTTGGGTTATGTAGGTTATACTTTTTTATATTTATCATATGCAACTTAAAAATCAAAAACAATGTGCTAATTAATTTAAGAATTAGCCGAGCTCGGTGGCTCAGCCTGTAATCCCGCAGTTTTGGGAGGCTGAGGTGAGTGGATTGCCTGAGCCTGTGGGTTCAAGACCCACCTGGGCAACTCAGTGAGACCTCGTCTCTACAATAAATAAAAAAAAAATTAGCCGGGCGTGGTAGCGTGTGCCTGTAGTTCCAG